TTCCGTTCGCTATCACTGTTTCCAATGCTAGTTGTAAGAGATCATTCACCAATTTAAAACTAACTGCCATAGTTGCCATTTTCTGAAGATATGCCTCTGGCAACATGTGCAAAAACTCAGAGGCAAAAAGTTGCTTGACCCACAGTAGAATTGAAAGGCCTTTGTTTTTCGTAGCACAGAAACCTAACAGGAAAGTGGTACCATAAAATGAGGCTGGAAGGTCAATATGCAAAAAGGACATGGAGGCGGCATCTTCTGACCTCCTCTAACTTCACAAGAAGAAGACAGAATCACAATCGGCAGCCCAAGGCATATTCCCATGAGGCCAGACATGCCACCACCCTCCAGCCTTTTTACCAACCATCCTCCCATGGTACTCACGACTTCTCTGCTGAGTTTGATAATTCATTGCAATGGGTACATAGAACTCACAGACACTGCTCATGATTATGGGGTTTATTAGGGAAGTAACAGGTTACAATTCAGGTTCAGGAATGCACACAGGATACAGTTCTTCAATCAGGACATTCTCCTCTCTGCTGTGCCCTCAGACACACCTTTCTTGTCCTTGTCCTCTCAGCCTGGCCTCTGCCTCTGTGGGCCAGGTAAGCCTGCCGCTCTGTCTCATGCCTCTTGGTTCTACTGCCACCATCTTTCTGCCGAGGTATCTCTCTGCTGGGGCAGCTCTCAGCCAAGGAGGTCCAGCACAGGGATCTTGGGTCCAAGAATGCACTCCACTTCACCTCCAGCTCTTCTCTCTTGAAGGCAGTGAGAGGTCTTCTCTGTCTCTAGGAGGGCTCATTTTAAGCCTGGCAGAGAAACAAAACTAACCAATCCCAACATCAGAGTCCAACACACCTTATTTGCATGGTCCCACCCAGTAATCTGGTGGGAGTTACAAAGACTACGGCTAGAAAAGCCATACCAAGTAGTTCACTGCACCGCACAATAATGCAAGGATCTGTAGGCCAGGTTAAGGTGTCTGAGCTTCGAAGGGGTTCAGCCTGTTTCAGTCATGGCCGACAAAGCAACACAGGACCAGATGGGAATTTTTAAAATGTAGGTGAACTGGAACGCTAATGGGATAACCAGAATGGGAAAAATGACAAAGCCCTGCTAGGAAAATAAGTCTCCCTCTTAGAAAACAAGGGCAGTTGTGTGTGTTGCACAGCAGCCAAATCTCTTAACCAGCTAAGTTGAAAACAGCTGTGTCTGGCTCAAAGATGGTGTACCACTTTGAATGTGTGTCATTCTTGACTGTCCTGGCAATAATCCAATTTCATACATCAGGCTCCTGAAAGGGCTCACTACACTCTTCCAAATCTTTCTTTCCAGGGCTTTGACCTGTAGTAATTTTTCCCAATCCAATTAGCATTTGGATCACCCGAACTTTTAAATTTGGATCTGTTCTACTGTTCCCTTTGCCAGCCATAACTGAACCAATTCAAACTCATTTGAAGCCCTGATCCTAAGAGCCAAAGGAGATTTGAAAGGCTTTGAAAAGGAGAGTGACAAGTTTATATTTGCAATTTTAAAAACTCTCTCTGGTTGCAGCATAGAGAACTGGTTGGAGGGAGGCAAAAAATACATGGCAGAGAAATGAGTAAGGAGCCTACTATTAGGAGTCTAGACCTCAGGCTGATAGCTTGGGACTAAGGGAGTGGCAGAGAAGATGGAAGGAAGCTGCCTAACTGAAGAAATAGTTCGAAGGTATAACCAACAAGACACAGTGTGTATGTGTGGGGGGAGGTAGCAGGGAGGGAGAGGCTCTAAACAAATATTTGAGGAAGAAAGGGATTTTTGTGTCCTGTGGTATTCTTTTACGGCACAGAATGCTGTCCCTCTACTCTATCTTCCCAGGCAGTTTCTTTCCATTTCCTCTATAAAACTGTCTCTTTTATTTCAGGCACATTCTAGATTAGAGCTGATCATAGTAGTTTAGGGAGCTCTGGTAGCATAGTGCCTAAGGCACTTGACTGCTAACCAGAAGGCTGGCGGTTCAAACCCACAAGCCACTCCTCAGAAGGAAGATGGGGCAATCTACTTCCGTAGTGATACTGCCTCAGAAACCCAAGGAGGGGTCGCTATGAGTCACGTCCGACTCAAGGGCACATAACAACAACAACAACAACATAGTAGTTTAGAGGATATAGAGCCTGCCTGAAGACAGAGACCGTGTCTTAACCAGCTTTCTGTCTCTGTCACCCCATTTACCTAGCACTTATAGAGACCCAAGCATTCCAGGCCCATACTTACAGACCTTTACCTGGAAGTGATTGCATGACTAATACAATCATAGCCTATGTTGATATGAAGTTCTGTGACTTGAGGCGTTATATGGATGTGGGAGCTTTCACAATCATTTTCTTCTTGGATCTTCACAGAACTCTTGTAAGACAGGTAATATTATTGTGGTTGCTGTTAGGTGCCTGTGGTGGTTAAGTTTGTGTGTCAGCTTGACTGGGCCTGGTTGAGTGGCTGGGCAGCTGGTGGTAGTTATTCCCCATGATGAGACTGGCAATCAACTCCATGGTGGGACCTACCACAAGCAGTTGAGTAGCTGCCTTAGGGATGTGGTCTGCTTCCTGTATATAAGCAGCTTTGGGAATAGTCTCTAGTTTATGGCACACTTGAATCCTGCATATAGCTGTGTCATTGTTCAGCAGCCTGCCATGCTCTGCTGACCTTGGCACTTTCAATAGACTTGAATTAATGGCCTGCTGTGTGGTTTGGTAACATCAGGACTGTGCCTTTTTACTTGTCAACCTAGCACTTGTCAGTCTCAGCAGCCAGCAGCTGTCTGAGTGAAGAAATGCCTCTAGCTCCAGTGGGCCAGGAGCAGGAGGCAGAGCTGAACCCTAAGGCCGAGGGGCTTTTATCCAGCCCCTAGAGCCTGGCACTTTGAACTTGGACTTAAAGCCTCCAAACTGTAAGAGAATAAATTCCTGTTTCTTAAGGCCATCCCATCTGTGGTATATTCCAGTCAGAGCAGCACCAGGTAACCAGAACAGTGCCACTGAGTCATTTTTTGACTCATAGCAACCCCATGTGACAGAGTGGAACTGGTACTTGGGTCTCCTTGGCTACAATCTTTACAAAGCAGATTTTCAGGTCTTTCACAGAACTGCTGGATGGGTTTGAACTACCAACCTTTTGGTTAGCAGCCCAGCCCTTAAATATTCGCTCCACCAGTGCTCCTTAAACAAAACAAAACAAAACCCATTGGTGTGGAGTTGATTCTAACTCATAGCAACCCTATAGGACAAAGTAGAACTTCCCCAGTTTTCCAAGCCTGCAAATCTTTACAGAAGCAGACTGCTTCAGATTTCTCCTGTGCAGTGGTTGGCGGGTTTGAATCACCAACCTTTTGGTTAGCAGACAAAAAGCTTTAACCAGTGTCCCACCAGAACTCCTCCTAGGGAGTGGGAAATAAACTCAGAGCTAAAGTGACATGCCCAACATCTCACACACTACAGGAAATGGTAGTGCTAAGATTTGAACTGGGAAAAAAAAAAAAAAAAGATTTGAACTGGGAGCTCTGGTAGCATAGTGCCTAAGGCACTTAACTGCTAACCAGAAGGCTGGCGGTTCAAACACACCAGCCACTCCTTAGCAGGAAGGTTGGGCAATCTGATACCGCCTCGGAAACCCAAGGAGGGGTTGCTGAGTCAGGTCCGACTTGACAGCACGTAACAACAACAACACAACAAGATTTGAACCTGGTTCCAATGGAATACTCTTTAGTCTGGGTAGATTAAGTATCGAGACTGTTAATTCTTGAAGGCTGGTGATAGCCAACTCTGGGAATTCTTTCCAGTTTCCAATATCAATTAATTTCTTTTTAAATGTTTATTGAGCTCCTACTATGTGCCTGGCATGGAGCTTGACCACTGGGGTACTGTTAGGGAGGGGTACAGCAGTGAATAAGGCAGAAAAGGTGCTTGCCCTCAGTCTAGTTTAGAGAGCCAGTCAAGCAAAGAAATATATATATATATATATATATATATACATACACACACACACACATACACGCACACAAACAACTTAAGTGATAATTGCTATAAAAAGAATACATGGGTGATGGATGTGAGCAAAAACGTGTCCTCTTGGTGGGTGATATTTTAGACGTGGGGGTCATAGAAGACCTCTCTGAATAGTGACATTTAGGCTGAAATCCAAAAGCTGCTTTCAACAAGCGCTTAATGACAGACTAGTCCCCACTGATTTAGTTTGGGAAACACTGACAGAAGGAAAAAATGCACTCCCATCTCCACTGCCAGACTATGACTGGGAACTGGACAGTTCCCGGCTCAGTCTGGCCGCCACCTCTAGAGGGCGCAGCGAGTCTTCCTAGTCCCAGGAGGCGCTTAGGCCCAAACGCTCCACCCCTCCCCCTCAAAAAAAAGCCCTCTACCCTGGAGTCTATTCTGACTCATAGTGACCCTATAGGACAGTAGAACTGCCATATAGGGTCGCTGTGAGTCGGGTCCGACTTCATGGCACATAACAACAACATAGGGTTTCCAAGGCTTCTTTACGGAAGCAGACTGCCTCATCTTTCCCTCGTGGGGCGGCTGGTGGGTTTTAACCCCCGACCTTTTGGTTAGCAGCCGAATGCTTTAACCACAGGGTCACCAGCACTCCTTCCATGGCCCGAGGCACTGCCAAATTGACATCCGAAACCTAAGGTAAAAGGACATCTAGGGTACAGGCAGAAAGAATGGGCAGTGCTGGGAAGTCCCGTGGCCTTAAGGAATCGCAGAGGGTCACTAGGCTACTGAAGGGGAGAATGTCCTTGGGATCACAAACACCACTACGGGAATACACCCTCGCACCATTGGGAATAGTCCACTTCCGGGACCTTTAAACCAGGAAGTTCTGGTTGTGGCCAATCCTGGCCCTTCTTCCGCATTCAGCTTTTGAGTTCGTCCCTCGCCAGGACTGTGGCTACCAATCAGCGCTCAGAGAAGGCGCATGCGTCTTCGAAAGAAGGCGACTTAACGGGGGATTTTGACCAAAAGCCCTCTTCTCTCCCCCCTCCCTCCCTCTTAAGATGGCGTTCTGCAGAGTGTGGTGGGCTCGGGGCGTTCTCTGGGGCTCAGCGATCACCCCTGGACCATTTGTCATTCGGAGGTTGCAACTTGGTCGTTCTGGCCTGGTTTGGAGGGCCCTTCGGTGAGGGACCTGGAAAGAGAAAAACATTTTTGACGGCCACGCTCTTCAATGCCTCATCCTTGCTTGCATGCTCTCTCTGAGCCCCCTTCTTAATTTTCAGGGTTGCACCCCCCAGCTGAGGTTTTTATTCTTCTCAGGATTCGCACCCCGCCCCCCGAGAGTGACTCGGCTTCTTGAGCCTCTTCTGATTCTCAGTGCCCCACACTGTCTGAATTCCCCGCGTGTCCTGAGCACAACTTCCAAGCCTCGCTTTCTCACCTCTGGTTTACCGCTGCTACCTCGCTCCCGTCTCTCTGACGTCCGAATTGCCCCTCATGCCTTGCACTCTTTGCGGACTCATGTCGCCTGACAGCCCTTCCTGCCTGGCCTCTGATTGGGGTCCTCTTCTGCCTGAGTCTGCCTGCCTTCCTCAGTTTGATTGCTTACCTGTCCTTGACACCAAGACCTCCTTGGATTTTTGGAAGTTGAGGCTGGTGTTTAATGCTAGGGGCGAGGTGTGAGGGAGCTTCCAGGCCTAGTTCCCAGATTCTGTCTCTGATCTTCCTTGTAGGTCTTCAAAGCTTCATCTCTCTCCAAAGGCAGATGTGAAGAGCTTGATTTCTTATGTGGTGACCAAGACAAAAGTGATTAATGAGAAATACCATCGTTTCTTGGGTCGTAATTTCCCCCGCTTCCACTTCATGTACACAATCTTCACGAAAGGTAAAAACAGAACTAAAATAGCGATTTCTTGAATCAGCTCTTGGGCAACGTTGGTGAGTTACAATAAGTATGATTGTTGGCAGGTTCTGCTTTGGGATGACAGCTGGGCTATCTACTGTTGCTTAAATGCTAGAGTAGTAAACTAATCCTTCTAAATCAGCACTTCCTGAGGGTGTTTCTAGAACTTCTGACAACACCTGGAGGCCAGGAGCTACCCTTACATTTAACTTTTCTTCTCTTAAGCACACACCTGACTATAGTTGAAATTCTTTGTCATGCACAAAAGCAGGTTTTATGACTGCACAAATCTGCCCTGTGATAAGTTGGCCTATTAGAATATGTGGTCTAATTTTTGTCACAAATGTAGGTAGCATGTTGTGGTGGAAATAGTGCTACATATACTTGGTTTCTGAACATTGATGCCAGTTACTAGGAGATGGTATAGTGTCACGTGTCTCACTTTGGAGCTAAAGCACCTGAGTTCAGATGCCACATTGTCTATATTGGCTGTGTGATTAGACTGCTTACTTAACCTCTCTCCCATGGGGCTTTTGTATCTGTAAAATGGTGATATATTACAGGCATACCTCATTTTATTGTGCTTTGCAGACACTGCAGTTTTTGTTTTTTTATAAAATGAAGATTTGTGTCAACCCTTTGTCAGGCAAGCGTGTCATTGCCATCTTTCCAATAGCATGTGTTCACTTCATGTCTCTGTGTCACATTTCGGTAATTCTCACAATATTTCAAACTTTTTCATAATGCTCTTGCACACTTAATAGACTATAGTGTAAACATTTATGTTGTTGTTGTTATGTGCCGTTGAGTCGGCCCTGACTCATAGCGACCCCTCCTTGGGTTTCCGAGGCAGTATCACTACGGAAGTAGGATTGCCCAACCTTCCTTCCGAGGAGTGGCTGGTGGGTTTGAACCACCAGCCTTCTGGTTAGCAGTCAAGTGCTTTAGCCACTATGCTAGCAGAGCTCCTAAGGCACTGGGAAACAAAAATTCCCATGCCTCACTTTATTGCGATACACAATTTATCGTGGTGGTCTGGAACTGAACTTGCAATATCTTTGAGATATGCCTGTAGAACCTACCTATTTACAACATAGGGAGCCCTGATGACGCAGCGGTTAAAAGTGCTCAGCTGCCAACCAAAAGGTCAGTGGTTCAAACCCACCAGCTCTCCTCTCCATGGGAGAAAGATGTGGTAGTTTGCTTCTATAAAGATTTATAGATTTGGAAACCCTATGGGGGCAGTTCTGCTGTGTCATACAGGGTCATTATGAGTCACAGTCAAATTCATTACATTTAATAAATCAAGTAAGTCAATAGATACATGTAAAGTACTTAGGATCTGATCTATAATAAGTGTTCAGTAAATGTTAGTTCTAGGAGATTATTATACCTTATACTTAGACCATAACGTTAATTGTAATCAACTACCACATTGTAAACTGAATATTATCAGCATTATTACTAGCTTCATGGACTTGCACAAATTGCTTATCCTTTTCTGTAAAGTGGAGATTAGAATACCTGCTTTGTCTGCCCTCATGTCTACCATGTCTACTCCCAGGTTTGTAATTAGAATTGAGTGAGAAAAGGGTCTGAAAGCATTTTGGTTGGTTTATTTTTACCTTTTTATTGTGGAATAGTAACAGAAGAGGGGATAGTATAATAAGCTTTCATAGACTCAGCTTCACCTTATTCATTACCAGCTCCCGGCCAGCAATCGTGTCATCTGTTTTGCCACTTTCTGGATTTTTTGGATGTCACTCTAGTCATTGTATCATTTCATTCATAAACATGAAAGCATTTTGTAAAACTAAAGAATTAGTTAAATATAAGCATTATCATAGAATGAAGATTAAAAAGCTAATCTTACAAATATGACTCATTGCCGTAATTATAAAAGTGTTCCAGAGAGGGAGTGTGTTCATGCTAATCTGGCCAGGGAATATATGTAGGGTTAACTGAGCCAGACTCGTGGGTGGGGAGCTTTGAATCTTGATGTTTAAAAAGGGAGTGTTTAATGACCCAGAAAAGGGAGACCGTTCCACAGTAGATCACAGAAGCCCATCTTGGCTGGAAGAGAGGTGATGTGCTGCGGGGGTGGGAGAGAGATGAGAAAAGAGATACAGGTTGGGCTCCTAAGTGTTTCAGGTTACCTAGTTTGAAGTTGTTACTGAGAATTGGGGCGGGACAAGTATGTGTGCATGTGGGTGAACATGGATTAGGAATCTGCGTTAAGATGCAAACAGGGATAACGTCACACTCTGTGCTCTGCTTTCATGAGGCAGGATTGCGGATGTTATGGGCTGATGCCAAAAAGGCTAGAAGAATAAAAGCAACTATGTGGAAGCACAATATAAAGTTTCATCAACTTTCCTACCGGGAGATGGAGCATCTGAGACAGGTATGGGCCAGGGACAGCTAGCCAGAAGTTGATGGTGAAGTCAATAAAGTGAATCAAGATCTCATTTTTTTTTTCTCTCTCTCTCTCTTTCACCATCAATCAAACTTAAGCCCTTTGCCGTGAGATCAAAGTGTTGAACTGAATGAGAGCGTGAGATGATTTGTCAGAGTTAGTTTCAGGTTCATTCAGAGTTATAGCCTTCCATAGCACAGTTCCAGAGAGTTTCTGGCATACTTTCTGAATAAAAGATGTGAACACTAAAGTCCAGTTCATTTCCTAACATGTAAAAATCTGGAAGGATCCAGAGGGTAGCAGGAAAGTAGTATTTAGTGGACCCATTCTGCATATCCGGAAGAAATCATTGTGGGATTTGGTATAATGTCAGGCCTGGTACTAGACCTTATTTGGGATACAAAAGTGAACAAATCCGAGGCTCTATCCTCAAGAAACTTACCATGTATATGTAGCTAGAAATAACCTTGGCCTTTTTCTAGGCTATGATAGAAGTTTACTGCACAGCGGGATGGCGGGATGGTCCATTATGCTAAGAACTTACCTGGGTTAAAACCACATCTGTGTTTATTTCTGCTTAGTTCCGCCGAGACGTCACCAAGTGTCTTTTCCTAGGTATCATTTCCATCCCACCCTTTGCCAACTACCTGGTCTTCTTGCTAATGTGAGTACAGTCTTCCATCTCCCCAGCATCTTGAAGATGTGTAGTTTTGTTTTGTTTTTTTAATGAAACATTATTTTAAGAAGAGCTTTCCATTTCAGAAGCTAGGCAGAGGTTATCAAACTTCCTGCTCCCATCTTCTCATTATCCCAAGGTTCATAAAAGCCACTCAGTAACAGGGGTAAGTGAGATGATTTCACCTGTGGGTGGCCCAGACTCTCCCTCCCTCAGCTGCCCTGTGTGTTGTGACATACGATGATGGCCTACTCCATCATCCCGGGAGGCAGCAGCCCAATTCCAAGAGGCATACCAATTTGGGATAAATTTTCCTTTAGGGAAAAATAAAAGCATTTTATATTTATTTTATATTTCAGTTATCTATTGCTATATAACAAACAGCCCCATAGCTTAATAGCTTAAAACCATTTCATGATTTTGTGGGTCAGGAATTTGGGCAGGATCCAGGTGGGTGATTGATTTCTCTGCTCCGTGTGGTGTTGACAGAGACCCCTCCATGGTATTTAGCTGGTGAGTGGACTAGTCCAAGGTCAATCATATGTCTGGGCCTTGGTGGGGATGACTGGAAGATTGGAACTGTCACCTAGAGTGCCTACATGTTGTCCTTTCAATATGGCGGCATTGGGGTAGTGGAACTTCGTACATAGCAATTCTGGGTTATAGAGTGAGTGCTCTAGTGAACAAGCAGAAGCTGCCTGGTCTTTTAGAATCTAGCCTTGTGGGGGGTCACATAGAAGCATTTCTACTGTATTCCATTGGTTGAAGCAGTTACCCAAGTCTAAAAAAGGGAATATAGACCCCCATCTCTCAATAAGAGAAAAGGAGCTGTGGTGGCATAGTAAGGCATTTGGCTGCTAACCAGAAGGTTGGCAGTTCAAACACACCAGCTGCTCCATGGGAGGAAGATGAGGCAATCACCTTCCATAAAGATTTATAGCCTTGGAAACACCTTGGGGGTTGAGTCAGAATCACCTCGATGGCAGTGGGTTAGGTTTGGTTTCTCAGCAAGAGGCATGTCAAGGAATTTGTGGCCATGTTATATAAGCACTGCACATGTAGACAAGTAAACAAATGCATCACTGCTTTTATACCATGTACACGTCAAAAGGACTATGCCACAGTGTGAAGCTGTCAACATCACATATAGTTTCTAGCTCTGTCTGCAGCCCTGTTCAACTTTGTCCAAAGCACATTCTTCACATCTCATTTTACGTGATCGCTGCATGCTGGGCTAGTCTACCACTGCTTCCTTTCACATACCTCAGTAATGCTGCTTGAAATTGTGCTTCTGTGTATCTTTGAATTTTGGTCTGAGACTCATTCATGAAAAAGAACAATGAGGCAGGGAAGTCATGTCTCCATCGCTTCTTCCTAGTGTTCATGTCTGCCAAATGCTTGCTTTCTTGGCTTTCTTTGAAAGATGCCTGTTTCAGCAAATGACTTGGTGCTTCCTCTTCCTTTTAGGTACCTGTTTCCTAGGCAACTACTGATTCGGCACTTCTGGACCCCTAAGCAACAAAGAGATTTCTTAGATATCTATCATGCTCTCCAGAAGCAGTCCCATCCAGAAATCCTTAGTTCTTTAGAAAAGACCGTCCCTGTCATTGCTGATGCAGGACTCCGGTGGCATCTGGCAGAGCTGTGCAGCAAGGTACTCTCCCAGTTGAACCTTCCCACAAACCAGGAATCTTGTTAGATCCAGCTACACTCAACTAGGAAAGAGAGCTCGTCAGGACTTCCCTAACATCTGCCCATCTCTTACCTCTTCTAAGATACAGCATGGTACGCAGCCAAACGTCAATGATATCCTGGCTTTGAGAGATTGTTTCTCTAACCATCCTCTGGGCATGAACCATCTTCAGGCTTTGCAGTTGGTGAGCACTTTGAGCCCTTCTCTTTTCCACACAGCCTCACCTTGCATCAAGTCTTGGCATGAAGTAATAGCATGTTGACTTTCTCTATGCTGTTTTACAGAAAGCCTTGAGCAGGGCCATGCTTCTCACACCTCACCTGCCTCCCTTCTTGTTGAGAAGCCGTTTGAAGAAACACACCGCTGTGATTCATCACCTGGACAAAGCGTTGGCAAAGCTGGGGGTCGGTGACCTGACTGCTCAAGAAGTGAAATCAGTAAGAACTTGACTGCAACATCAACTCTCAACTCTTGGTGGGCTTTTGAGCTTATGGAGGCTGGGCTCCTTGTCTTGTTTGTTGTATCGAAGCTCAAGGTCTTCTCTTAACTCATTGCTATGTCTTTTTCTCACTCAGTTTAACTAGTGGGAAGGACTTACCCATAGTGGTTTTCGTTTGTTTCTTCCTTCTGGTACTTCAGAAACCAAAGATACTGTACTCTAGGCCTGTTGTTTGAGATTATATAGATCTCTTTCCTTGTCATCTTGTCCATCAGCAGTTTATGGACTTTTCCTCCAGCACGTGCGCACAATGAGAGAAACCGAAACCTGCCCACATTGCCATGGTGCAAGTGAGTGAGGTTGTAACTTATTTAACTTGCATAACTTATTTAAAAGGAGCCCTGACGGCTCACTGGTTAAGTTCTTAGCTGTGAACTGAAAGATCAGTGATTTGAACCCACTAGCTGGGAGCTCTGGTAGCATAGTGCCTAAGGTACTTGACTGCAAACCAGAAGGCTGGCGGTTCAAACCCACCAGCCACTCCTCGGAAGGAAGGTTGGGCAATCCTACTTCTGTAGTGATACTGCCTCGGAAACCCAGGGAGGGGTCACTATGAGTCGGGGCCGACTCGATGGCAAATAACAACAACAAGAAGCTGTTCTGTGGGAGAAAAGACTTACTGATCTGCTCCTGTGAAGATTTCAGGCCTAAGAAAACCCTATGGGGCAGTTCTACTCCGTCCTATATGGTCACTATAGCGTTGCTGTGAGTTGGAATCAACTCGTGGGCACACAATAGCAACAACTTATTTAAAGGAGATTTAGGATTATTACGAATTTTCACTTCCTTGGTGTGCTTAACTCTGTGATGATTAAGCACCGTTTCTCTTCTGGGTGGCATAGGCCTGTTATCTTCGCGGCCTGAATTCTACACATATTGCTGAAGACAGATGTCGAATTTGGCTGGGAGAATGGCTGCAGATTTCCTGCAGCCTAAAAGGTAAGACAGATGCCAGTGGTGGTGCCACTGAAATTCACACCATTGCATTCTATTCCGAGATTATTTGGGGGTGTAGCATAGTGCCTAAGGCACTTGACTTCTAACCAGAAGGCTGGCGTTTCAAACCCACCAGCCACTCCTTGGAAGGAAGATGGGGAAATCTACTTCCATAGTGATACTGCCTCAGAAACCCAAGGAGGGGTCGCTATGAGTTGGGTCCAACTCGACGGCACATAACAGCAGCAGCTATTGAGTACTTGTGAGACCCTTACCTACCGTACATCTGATTGAAACATGAACTCACATGCCCACAGGGTCCAGACAGTTAATGAAATAGACTCTGCAACACAAGAGGGAGTAGTAGGGCCTGTGGTGACATGAGAGTGAATACATGCTAGTCTAAAGCAGAGTTTCTCAACTTTGGCACTGTCGACATTTTGTTTTAGGGGTTATACATTATAGGATGTTTAGTAGCATACCTGACCTCTACTCACTAGTTGCCAGTAGCATCTCCCCACCCTAGTTGTGACAACCAAAAATGTCTCCAGATGTGGCCAAATGCCCTCTGGGGGGCAGAATTGCCAGTTGAGATCCACTGGTTGAAAGGCATGTAGATTCAAAACAAAAGCATTCTACTGACTAAACAAAACTGTATTGTGAGGTGGCTATTAGGCCTGTGGATCTCCTGTTTGCCACCTCTGGCTCTCAATGTTTCCTAGGCCTTTGGGTATTAGGATAGGCTTAGTAGTCTCCTTGGAGCTGAGAAATGTCCCCAGAGCACAGGGTTCTACCAGATGAATCCCAAGGTAACAATGATGTTTATACCATTACTGCCTCTGAATTTTCTGCCGTTTCACATGAGAATCAAGAGAGAGACTGGGTTGATCTGAATATATAGAAGACAAGCATGCATGCAGAGGCTGCAACGAGGCAGGATTTGAGAGCCACCACCTATTAATGCTACACACACCTCACACTTGGTGTCCTGCCTCCAGTATCAAACCCTGGGTTCCAAGGTACTCAGGAGGCAGATTGTTCCCCGACCAAACCACTAATATTGGTGTTTTCAGAAGCTGAGCTGTCACTTTTGCTGCACAACGTGGTCCTGTTTTCTACCAACTATGTTGGGACAAGGCGCTGAGTGAACCATGGAACGGATGGCACTGTCCTGCAGTCACATAATACAGCAGCGTGGGACCAGACAGCACATCAGCAGGGTGTGTGCGTGGCAGAGGAGGAGGTGCCACAGGTGTCTGTGTGGTCCCCGTATGAGAGCTGCAGACATTCCCCTTACAGCTAGAGCTGAAACCCTTTTGCCAGAGCTGGCCCATGTGAGGTGTCATCCCAGCTTTCTCACAGTTGGCTGGAGTTGGCAGTGGCCTGTGTACTAGGCTTTTACTGTGATGTGTAAAGTTTAGGTCCTAGGAAGTGAGTTGTTACCCCAGGTGGGAATTCTTATTTGACCTAACACCCATCCACTGCCATGTTCTTTACAGCTGTGGGGGGTTTTTGGTGGGGGAGGGAGGCCAGGGTAAAGACAATTTCTAGCTGCTAGAAATAGCACTAAACCAGAGCACTTCTATGTCTGTATGCACTTTGATGTTGTCATGAGATGACCAAAAGTAGGGATTTTGTCTTCACTGGCATGGGCTAACCATTCCTTTTCAAATCCTTTGTCCTGTAAAGTTGACCTTAATTTAAAAACAAACAAAAAAGGTGATAACTTATGGGAACATTTTAATGGAGAAGGAAGCAAAGTGCTACTTGACCCCTTCACTAGTGTTTACAGCCTTTACTCCCTTGTCTTAATTTCTGGGCCGTAGCACAGCCCTGTGGATGTTAAACTCTTGGCTACCTCCTGTGTTGCAGCAATCCAACTGTAACTGGCAGTGGCTGCCTTCTTTGAGCCCTGGATCAGACCCGTAAGGTACTAATTTACTGCCTGCCTGGGGAGCCCAGGAGAGGTCTACATCGAGATAGTAAGTTAGGTTTAACGTTTGTACGTGTACATCAGTGACTTGTAGTAACTTATTATAAATGCATGAAACACTGTTTTTCAACTCAATTAAAGACTGATTGAAACTAGATGCTGGAAATTACTTATGCACACCATAACCACTTTGCTAAGGCTCCTTTTACAAGACTGATCTAACCCAATTAACGGGGGAACGACTGGTTGAGATAGAACCTTCTTAGGGATGGCAGTTACGAATTGATTTGAAGCTGGTCCTCTTGATGCGCACCTTAAGATGTCCTGATAGGAATGGAGACTTTCATACATACGAAGTTAATGGAACGAGAAAACGAGACCCAAGAGCAGAGTCCGAGCCACAGGGCAGGGCTCCAGCAGGGCAGGAGGGGGGCCTGCTGCGGCTCAAGAGCTCCTGATGCTCGAAGAGAAGACTGTACTCTTCCATCATGAAACGTTTTCAGTGTTAACATTAATCCCTAACTGGCCTAATTACTTTTATATACAAAGCTAGAGAAGCATATTTTCTCTAACGAGTAACTGAGTCAGGGCCTGCAAAGATAAAAAGAATTAACACACCATCCTTTTGAATATTTCTTTAATATTACATTTAAATATTCTCTTTAAATACAGCATTATCACAATGTGAAGGACCTAAAGGCAAAAAAAAAAAAAAATTTTTTTTTTTCCAAGAACCAGACAAGCTTTGGATTCACACTGAAAATACTACCTGTGTACAGTATGTGAGAAAGGAGACTGGAAAATAATGCGAGTTGCAAAGTCCTCTTTCTGTCCAGAGCTAGACGGAACGGGATTGGAGCTGTCTGCTTCTGTGACCAGAGGCCTAGCTTCTGTGACCAGAGGCCAGCAACCATGAACCCTAATTCTCCTGTCCAACTCAGGTAGCACCAGAAATGAGATGGACTAGGTTGCAGAAAAGGCCCTTTGCTTGACAGGACAGTTAATGCTAAATGTTAACATTTAGCATTCAGAAGCTTAGGATCAGTATGCATCAGAATTGTAGTTAATGAAGAGACAGGCTTACATTAAGAAAGTAGTTTTTCAGAAAAATATCTTCTGGGCTGGGAATAGGTTAAGTAATTACAGATTCAAACTCCTGGATTCATTCCAAAGGCTAATGTATCTCTCACTGAGCAGCTGGAGTCCACCTTCCTAGATGAGGTGGGAGCCCTCCTGAGGAGGGAGTGTGTGGAGCTCACACTCCGCTTCCAACAGAAACTTTCAAAAAGATTCTTTTCTCCCTAGAGCTAACTGAAGTCACACTTCAGCATCAGTCTTGTATTGGAGGGTACCAGGCTAAGGTAGGGAGTGCAGCTGAGTTCAGGATAGCATCCAGAGCTCAGGTACTTAGACTCTGAACTGTTCCATGAGGCTGCGGAGCTATGAGGACCTACATACTTAAGAACTCCCATCCAAACAAAAACGAGAATGACTAGAGGGGCAGAATGGGTTAAGAGAGCCATATTAAGCACAAAGCCTTTCAGGCTCAGGGTATAGAGGTTTTAGTGGCGAAATGCTACAACTCACGTGAAGGTGGTTTTAAGACACCAGGGCCTTAATATCCTGAAAGATGGTGCTTCATGGGCAATGTTAGTAGGAACAGTTAACCCCTCCTTACAAAATAAAATTTTTCTCGCTATTTTCTTTCCTGTTTATAAACCATACCGGAAGTGGAGCGTGGTGTGAAGGACGATAGAGAATACCGTTTTGTTTCCTACTGCCCCGTTTTAAAGAGAGGCAAAGTAACTGTGCTAACAAAAAAGAATTCAGTAGTGTTTGATGATGCAGATCCTGCAGCACAGGCTGGATGGAAGGGGAGCAGGAACCATACCCCTAACAGTTAAGAAGTGAATTCAAATCCCACTCTACAGGCTTCAAAGGTTACTTTCAGAGGGTTGTATGTGGCATTTGGGAATTGGTTTGGCCTCCCATTTTTATCTGCCATCAGTGTGGGGAGGGGTTCATGGGGGTGAACTGGAATAGAACCCTCTAACCCTGTACATCAAAGAAGGACCGTGAGGGCAGGTACAGAAAAAAAGAAGAAAAGCTAGTCGGTGACCTTGACTGCCACATCCTACCTTCCATTAAGCTCAGATCTCTCAGAGGAAAAAAAATCCTGGCTGAAAAAGCAAGCACGGCCCAGATGAAGTCACCTCTCCAGACAGCAGCCTGTTCCTGCTGCCTCCTTTGGATACAGCTGATGCCCCACACAAGCCTCCCACGGTATGTGTGCGTCCCAACCGAAAGCTGCCGACAGCTAGCATTAGACATAGAGAAGACCCCGGCTCTTTAACCCATGTCTGCATCCAACCTAGCTCTTTCTCTCCAAAGGAAAAAGGATGGGGAAAAGGACAAAATAGACAAGTTTAACTCTAGTACCTAAGAACCTGTGAAAGAAACATTTCAAGTTATAGACCAGGAATTCCCCAGTGTGGGGAACAGGTCAGAGACAGCAAACGTGTCAAATACTAACTATTTACTACCAAAAAGGGGGTGGGAGAAGGGCAAGTTAGATTTTTATAAATCCTGGAGGTTTTATACAGAAGTGGACACCCTTCCACCCCCTCCAGATTTGACCAGAGGACATTTCCAATTGTATTACAATGATACACCAAAATGGGGTATCAGAGTAATCACTGAGAAAGGAGTTTGTACCCCATTTGGAGCTCAGGAGAGAAGGGGTTTTGCCGTGATGTTCATACTGTGTTCTGGTCCCTACGTAAAGAACAGCTGCTTGAGTTACCCAGCTTCTCCTGTTGGATCCTAGTTCTTTGTTCCAATGGCCCAGAAAGCTCAGTATTCAGCACTGTGCAGCCTCCTCTGCCTAAGACCCTGCTCCCAGATCAAAGCTGGGGTTGCTCTCCTTGGTTCTGTTTCTCTTTTAAAAAATACTTGTACAAACAGTCCTTTCCCACCCGTTCCCCACAGACCCCAATGAAATAACATGGGAGCAGTGGCTGCTTCTACAGTTTTGATTTGAAATGGCGTTAGATAAAATAAGAGAATAAATATAGAGGATGGGTAAGAGACAGACTCTCCACCCCACATCACACTGTCAGAGGGAGTTCTAGTGCAGAGTCCTCAGGGGGCCGGTCCTCACTCTGCTGGGAGGTCTTCTCCACCCCACAGCCCTCTTCACTGTCCACATGGAAGGGGAGACTTGAGGGGGACCATGAGGGGTGGAAGTCATTATTCTCAGGCTCCTCAGGGTTACAATCTTCAGGCAATAGCGCTTCAAGAGTGGGTGTTTTCCCCACCTCTGATTTACAGAGGGCAGCTGGGTCTGTGGGGCTGCAAGCCACCAGTGAGGTAACGGGGAGAGAGAAGACATTGAGATCCTTCTCCTTGGGGAAAGGGGGTGGGGCCTCTTCTGTACCAGGCTCTCCTTTCACCCCCAAGACTGGCCTCTGCTCCACCTGATAATAGACCAGGGGCCCACTGTTCAAGTAGGATGGGTTGTTCACTGTTGAAGGAGTTGGATGATCCGAGTTCTCGGCAAAACACAGGACGGAAGAGCCCGGGGACAGCTGAGCCTGGATGAGAATGGGGGCCGTGAGGCCCGGGCACAGCTCTTCAGGAACAGCCAGGGGCTCCTCCAAGATGCACACACCCAGGCTCTCGATGCTAGAGTCCAGGCTGGCACTTGAGCCACTGGAGTCTTCCTCAGCCTTAAGCCGTTCCAGTTCCTCTGCGCTCTGCAGGTGCATCACTGCTGTCTCGTTCTCAGCAATGAACTCCTGGAAGTCCTGTGTTTCAGAGCCCTCTGCTCCTGGCAGACTGCAGCTGGCAGCGGGTGAGGGCTCCTCGTCCGGGGCTGGTGGGCGGCTCACCTGCCGCTTGCTCTCTAGCTCCAGCTTCATGATAGTGTGGAGGTAATGAGTCCGGACCCGGATTGGATTAAATTCAATGCGTCCAGCCATGTTCCCGCAGCCGTCCCGGGAACAGCCACATGGAAAGGACATGCGATCCACCTGAGGGAGTGGACAAGGGAGTTGAGGCAAGATGAGATTAACACATCTGACAATGGAGATAGGAGATATTATCTGGCAAACAAGGCCACTTGTCATTTGAGGTCTTCCTACAAGAAGAGAAGCAACCAATTCAAAACATAACATGCAGTGTGAGCTACCAGCACTAGATGAGTTATTAAA